TTTTTGGATCAATACTTAACGAGATATTATTTGGAATAACTTCTTATTTCAAATAATCGATACGTCATCCTCACACGCGCCTGACACCATATACAGCATGTACCCCATACACCCTTTCAAATTTCCCTTCCCTAACCCCACCTTGACACGTGTCCTCCAACATTAATGGCATGTACAATCAAGACGGCTCACGATCTCCAAATCAAATCGTCTATTACCCAACCGCCTCTACTTTTTCATGATTATTTCAATATAATAATCAAGAAACTGTTTCCCATTCCCACTCCCCCACCCCACCCACACACCCCCAACTCCTCCCCACCTATAAATACCTTTCTTCTACCTCCATTTCCTCTTTACGCTTCCTTAAACTTGCAAATAGCTTTTGACGAATGATTCTATCTGCAACTTCCTAAGCAATGGTCTCCTCCACCTCCCATGAGTCAAACAACAACAACAGCCGCGTTCAATCCACCGGCGCCGATAGCCGCGTAATCGTTTTCCTTCCAATGAAGCCAAACAACCACGCCATAGAACTGAGAAACACCCTATTCGACGACAGGTTTGCCGTCATGATCGAGTTCTTCAAGAACTGCATTCTACTACCAGCACTGACCCTTGCTRACACCAGCGTACCACTAAAGTACGTCCAACAGTACTGGCAAACCTGTGAATTCCACCCCGACAGCCATGGAATAATGGGTGACATGGATGCTCCAAACGATATGATATGCTCGCTCAAAATTTTGCGGGCTAAAGTATCTCGAGTTTTGTGCATTCCCATTCGTCAAGAGCTTGGCATTGCCGAATATGACAAACCACCCACCACCGACGACATACTACGCTTCATTAACATGCTAGGTTACATCGTGACCTAAGCAACATCTCCGACTTCAAACGCCAATTCCTCCCGCCAATATGAAACATGTTCTTCTCAATCCTGAACAGGGCCCTCACATGCAAGCTAGGGTCATTGGACCAAGGAAACATCAATATAATGACGACCATGTACGGGCTATTCTTCAACCTCAACCTTGACTACGCCTTTCTCATATACAATGAGATCCACTCGGCGGTAGTCAAGAAATGCAAGCTCCAGGGCACCGGCAAACCCTTATCTGATGTTCTATTTCCTCGTTTCCTAGCCCTCTTCATAGGGGACGCAATGAGGAAACATGGTCTACCGGCTGAAGAACCGTTCACTCCTGTCTTCAAAATGCAAGGCCATCGACCCACCCTATCGAATGAGGGTTACATCATCAACCAACCACTCTCAAGGGCCATGCTCATTGTCATTCCATCGACATCTGAGATCCGCCGAAGCTATGAACGCTCTCTGCTATCCCAGGAACCAAGGGCAGCTACCCCAGAGCGACTAGAGCCATCCCCAGAACCAAGCGAGGGAGCACAAGAGGCATCTTCATCGGATGATGAAGATGATGATGATGATGATGATGATGATGATGATGATGATGACACTCATCGTGCCTCCCCGGCCCTACTCAAACAATTCCTCCATCCACTTCCCAAAGGGCAACCACCACATCTACCCGTGGCGATCAAAGCCAAAGGGGTACTGAACAAGGACGACCCAGTCCAAACCCTACCCAAGCCAGCCATCCATAGGCCATTCTTCGGGCCTCTGGAGATGAATCAGCTGAGGAACCCCACATTCCATCACCCCTCTCCCAACAGAGAGGTGATGAAGAAATAAGAGCCCCTTCGCCTTAAGGCTCGACACAACCTATCACACACACAGAAGCATGTGTTGCTTCTGACATTGATACACCCCAAGATTGTTCAGAGCGATCTCCCTTTTCTGCACATCCCCCTTCGATATTTGATCTACTGAAGGGGACACACATTTGCTTCACTTACTCGGTCTCTGAAGCCGAGGAAGAGGAAGCTGATGCAGTAACATCACGAGATAGCTCCTCACTTGAGGGCTATCAAGGACATGATGGAAGTCCTTCACGGCCTATATTTTCACAAGGCAATGAAGGCGCCTCAGGAGCAGAGGCTCAACCTACAGCATCCGTTGCTGTAGGGGTTACCCCCATAGCCGAATTGGTCACAAAGGCCGAGTTCCAAGCCTTTGTTGACTCAGTTCAGCAGTCTTTGGAAGACCTTAAACTCATCATACAAGGGATTGTTGACAACCCACCTTCAATCGATAACACCACCCTTCAACAATCCCTTGCCATCCTTCAACGACACCTCTCCCAACTTGAAACCCAAACCCGAGACAATACAACACGTCTCCAAATGCTCCAGCAAACCATCACCCAACACCACAACACCGCCTCCTCCTTTGCCACCCAAAGAAACCAAATCCTCATCCACTCTATCGCCACCCTCACGGCCCAAGCAACTGAGGCCGATAAGAACCTTAACTACATAACCACCCAGCTAAACACTATCCTCCAAAACCTTAATACCCTACCAACCACCATCATCTCCCAAATTCCTCACCAAGCCCCACCTCAAACCACTTCATCAATCGATGAAACCCTTGCCTCTCTTACCCACCAAATGGCCACCATACAAACCACCCTCACCCAACTCCCTACCACGATACTAGCCTACATCCCTCAGCCTACTCCACCCCCACCTCCCTCTACAGGCCCATCCTTCGATGCAGCCTTCTCCTCATTCACTGCAGAGGTGAGAAATCTCATCGCCAACCTTCCCATTCCTCCATCTACATCCACCACCACCTCCGTGCCACCACAAGCTTCATCATCAAGCACGGAGTTCGCTACCAGAGCCGATCTAAGAGATCTGTCCAAGGCACTTATCTCATCCTTCAATGAGATAAATGCAAAATTCGTCCATCGTGCTATTCAACCGACCAGGGTTCTCTCCCAGAACCTTGCTGATGAAAAAAGGCGCACCACCTTTCTCTTTCACATGGAAGAGAGCCAAAGACAAGCATCCCTGAAGGTGTATCTTGCGTCCTTCAGGAAGGAGAAAAAGAAGAAGAGGAGCAGAGCTTCGTGCTCCAGCAGCCGCCCACAAAAGAGGCCACGCCATGAGGACCCAAACCCCGATGAACAAGGTCTTGGACCTTATGAGGGGGAGAATTAGGCCACGGCTGCCCAACAAATGGAATCCGCTGCACCATCACCACCACCACAAACACAAGAACAACCACCACCCACAACCGAAGGAACCCAAGCGAGGGAACCAGAGGCTCAGCCCTCTGAAGATGTACAAAATGTACATGTTCCCCTCGCTACTACCCAAGAACCCATCGTGTTGAGTTCCTCAACTGATGAAAATCCAACCACCCCACCAACAGAAACAAACCAACCTTTTACTCCATCACCCACACCAAACCTACCATTAACCCCATCACCAACTCCTCGCGAAAGACAACCTTTCATCACCCTATCTG